CCCCAAAACCCCAAAACCCCAAAACCCCTATATGGAGAGACAATATGGAACAAATTAATAAAAATAAATGAATACAAGAAATATTCAAATCACAAAGCCAATAAAAGCTGTCCTACAGATATCGGAGTCATCTCCAGTACTCCCAGAGATAGACAAGAAGATAGTCTGAACAATGAAGAGAACTCAAGAGGGGTTACATAATAGATTTTTGAATGGACTCAATCCTAGATTAGTCAGAGGTCGTCGAAATTCAAGCAGGCAAAAGATATCCAATTTTACCACCCAAACTCCTATAGAGAAGAAGAGTCTCAGAAGAAGTATCCAGTCTTTGACTAAATATCAGAAGAACTGTGTCAAGATGCATATAAATTTGATATCAAAGAGCAGGCAAAAAGTCATCGAGGCCAAAGAAAGGAGGTTTAAAGGATTCTTTTCCCCCAGGCTTCTCAGCAAGAAAGCAAGTTCTTTCGTTTTCACTAAGACTCAAGTGACTAGAACACCAAGAAGTAATCCTTGAGAAGACATCCAGAAGCTATTTAAGGATCTGAATTTGAACTAATCACTTCCTGATGGGAAGTAGTTCATACCTTCTTTGTCATCTAGGTAAATAAAGATGGCAGAGATAAAATAATAAGTTTTATACTAATAATTCATAATAATTTGAGTGTCAAAACAAGTCTGGCTAGTCTTAGATACTAATAATGATAGATGGGAGATAACACTAAATTATCTAAATGCTGAGATTTAACAATAGAAGTATTTAGACATCTTAGTCCTTTTTAGAAATAATTCATAACATTTGGAATTAACTTGCAAAATGAAGAATTACAACAAACCTTGCACCTGAAAATTTTCCTCGGAGCAAGGTAGGGCTTGATTCAAAGAATCAAGAGTAGCTATAAGTCTTATAAATGCTAGTTTTCAAGTGGTCCTATGATAATCTGAAGAGATATTATTGAATTTCTTATCTCCCATTTGGAAATTCATAATTACTGGTAACTCTGCTAGAGCACTATCAGACCAAATTTTGTCAAATATGTTCTACCAAAATCTAACCATTTCTATTTTTATTATATCTCCTTCTGATTCTTTCATAAAATGGTTGAGGAGGATGAATAAAATTGTGGTTGACTTAAAAATATTCTTGGACTATTACTGTACATTACACTATTTTAACCTAGCTTTCAGAGTTATTCCCTTTGAAAGCAATCAAAGCTTATACACTCTAAAATAACACAAGGGCAATATTGATTCAACTAATGAAATTTTATAATCAGTTACGAAGTTATTCAAAGCTTATAGCACAGATCTTGTCTTAATTTATAAATTCTTTAGTATCAATAATCAACATATGTGCACAAAGTGGGACAACTTCCAAGGTAGTTGCTGGTTCTAAACCTAAATTCTAACATCAAAATGCTATAGTAAGTATATGAACTCCATCTGAGGGTTTTCTAGAAATCAAGTTACTAATTTCATGTCTAAATCAGGGAACTTTGAGTCTCCATTTTCTCTAATAAAACGGCTGATAAACCTTTTTACTTGGGGTTTTGGGGTTTTGGGGTTTTGGGGTTTTGGGG